ATGACTTCAACCTACTTTAAAGGTTACAGAGGTCAAACTCATTTCAAAGAATTTGTTCTGTAGAACCAAAAGGAATAGATTCAAAGGTTTTGGCTGGTAGCTTCTTGGAATAGATCTAACAAGTTTGAGCAGGAAAATGACATTGACCTACGTACAAAGTCAAAGGGAAACATATGTCAAACAACTGAAGAAGAACCAAAAAGCATAAAATCTTATAATAACATTTGGCTGAAAGTTTCAACAGATGGAGCCGACAAAGTTTGCGAGTGATATTTAATGAGAATATTTTGCTATGACTGCTTAAATATTCAGGTGAGCGATACAGGCCCTCTGGGCTTCTGTTTATAGTAATATAATAATGCTGAAAGTTCATTACTAAACCACTCGACTTTTGTCTTTCTCCTTTATTACACAATTTATCAGACTCATCACTCATTAATTTTAGCTGTACATTGCTTATACAATAAATATGTTTTAATCTTATTTTCACCTAACTTTTGAGATCTGCTATTGATTTTTCTAAACATCTGTCGGTACATTTTGGCCGATTCCATTTCGACTTATGTTTGACTAATTGTGGGTTAACATTGTCCTGTATACAATGTACCAGCTCACATGACCTATTCTGATCGCTTTCCGTCAGTGGTCCGTCGTGCCGTCGTGCGTAAACTTTTTACATTTCGACTTCTCGAGAACCAGTGGGCGGCGTTTTTTTTCGAAACTTGGTCAGAATTATCCTTGGTAGATGAGGCTATACAATTGTAAAATTTGGATTCCTGCCCAAACCCGAGGGGAATTGGCAGTACCCCAAAAGGAAAACATTTCAAAAATCTTCCTCTCAAGACTCAGAGATAACATCCATTCTCCCTTGCGGAGGGGGTAAAATAACTATAGTTTTGGAAAGAAATAGATAATTTGATACTGGCAACATACACATTACTAAATATCGATCGTAACACACGGCGGTAATTACAACTAGGACGGGGATACATGAGTATGTACGAAGCAGGGTCAATTACGAGGTCGCGTGGTTCTCATTGGATAATAGAAGGTCAGATCATTGATCAGGTCAAATTTCACGGGTCGTCTGCTCCAGTTATACACAGATATACATGATGCAACAAAATTGTCCCCGGCAGCTTTCCAAGGGAACACGTAAGGTGTTTCAATGAGTCAAATTGCGGATTTTTCAGTACGTAGAACGTCAGCTTTATATTCAGTTCTTCTAAATTCTTCCACTTGGGGGTCGTTTCTGTTGATATTTGATCCAAAGAACTATAAATGGTTCGGTGCGTTAATTATGGCCCCCAAATGCATCAAAATTCAAAATCTTAAAATGAACTTTCAAACGACTGTTTCTTTAACTTTGAATACTTCCCAAATACTATCATGAAAATATTTATTTGTATTTCTATTTTTTGTTGCCATGGTAACAAGTTCAAATTTTGCATCAATTAGAACAATTTGAATATTCATATTTTGCATAGTTTTTCCCCTGGAAATGCGCTCTGTTATGTATTTGATATTCCGGATAGTTGGTCCCGATATTAGACTATGCCATTTATGTAGTGTCAAGTGATGTAATAAAGCCTTTTCTCGGTGTTATGCCAAAATGTGTTTGTGTTTCGAAGGAGCTGCCTAAAAAACCTCATATGTAACACCCACTAAGGTAGCTAAGAGAAAAACTAGGTGAAAACCTGTCAAAACTGACTGAATATTCAAATTTAATTATTTTTGCAAATATTAACTGGGTACCATGGCAGCCATAATTGAAAACACAAATAACTGTGTGCATAATAGTACCGAGGAAGTATTCAAAATTAAAGAAACAGTCATTTGAAAGTTCTATTGAAGATTTTTATTTCGATGGCTTTGTGGGCCAAAAAAGGCCCAAACTATATGAAGTCCTTTGTGATATTACCTTCAGATTTTACATCTAAAACTGTTGAATTTCAATGCTAGATCTGCCTGTACAATAGATTGAATCTAGTTTCATCTAATGCAACAAAGTTAACACTTACTGAAAAATGACAAACATTATATGTACAATTTTGTACACTTACATATCTTTATTTATACTTAAATACAGTAAATATAAACTTTAAACGCTTGACAATTCGTACTTCCGTTCAAATGTGTAAATCATTACAGAATATTGATTAGCTATTGAAGTGAACAAATTAGCTTTCTCTGCTTTAAGAATATCAATAAGGAAGATAATTAGAAACATTATATTTTCACCACTTTTATTTTTGTTTAACACATTGTATGCGTTCGTCAGCAACCATTTATAATCAAAATCAAAACTATTTCGCATGTAATATACCTGGTGATGGCAATTTTTGTTATTCAACCAGATTTAACACTAATATTGACTCAAGAACAACAAGTCCATCATGAAACTGACATCATTTCCATCAACTAAATCATCACTGAACACAATACAACACACACTCTTGACCCTCAAATTTGACAATAACAAAATAAGGGTATCAATAAAACATCGAGGAAAACATGGTCGAAAACGCTACAAAACTTCATGTCAACAGCGACAATAAAGAGGAAGACACTTTTGCTGTAGATACCTGGAATTTCTAACGTTTATAATCAGTACAAACATTAAATTTTACCATTTCACGTGGATAATCTTAATTATTAAAAAGAAAAATCTAAAATCTTCATTTTATACTTATAGTTGTGGGAGACGTGACACTCTCTAACCTGCTATGTCTTACATGTTAAACATGTTTAAGTTAGATACAAATACAACCTTCATGGATTGGCATATCAGCTCAAACAATTTGTTTAAACATTCTGCCTACAACTCACATTATCATGCTTAACAGGACTCCACGAACAATCCAACTATTCCTCCTCGTCAACATACAGATCGAGCGCTCGCCAGTATGGGCGGGGCCAAATGACCGACTTTTGAAAGCTTCTTTCCGATTGGTCAGTTCACTGAAGAATGACACGTCGCCAGTTCAGGTTATAAAGTAGGACTTTACTACGTACTTGTATACAAGGAAATACAATGTATCTAAACAAATTAGCGTAGTATATTTGTTAAGGTGTGTTAGTATGGGGATGGTACGTTGTTTTTTCTGTCTATACTGGCGATTAGAACATGCAATTTGGTTTAAACTTTCGACGTATCGGTCTCGAATTCAAACCAAATTTCATGTTCTAATCAAAAGACACACGATTAACGGTTGCACGAAATATGATGACAGGGTAATAAATGCAAAGCCGTTTTTTAGTAATTTAAATGCTGAGCACACTACTTTATTAACTGTGGATCTAGCCCGAATTTCCTCTGGCCCTAACACCAGACTTCGACATTTTGACAGATAGATGTCTGGTGTGGGGCCAGATAGCACTGATATATGAAAACGTGGATTTCGCCGACACCGTTTGGAATAGGATAGTACCAATATAAACACCCAGTCTCATCTGCCCTGGCAACATATTAAAAAAAACCTCTCGTCGTCAGAAAGCTACGTTATCGCAGCTAGGTATCGGAGAGTTATGAGGGGCTGACAAAAAAACTCTTCACACAACACGTATCTCAAATATACTTATATATCGATTATTTATTGATCCAAATCAGCTCTTATTATCACCAACAACTGCTAAATTCTGTCAGAAAGGTCCTCAATTTTTAATTGTTCAAAATTTCCCACCTGAGCGAACGCCGTCTGCTATTGCCAACCGGAAGTTTACAAGCCAAACCGGTAAAGTGGGTCGTGAACACCCCCTGAAGTTTGACCCCATATCAATCCGCCATCTCATTTTAACATATACTACAACTAAAGTTTTCTAACGTTCAATGCATGTGGATTTCATTCAATGTAAAATATGCCATCAGTTACCTATTTCAATTACTCAGAGGCGCTGTATTAAATCGGAACACATTTTAGGTAGGGAATACAGTCGTATGAAACACTTGCTGCCTTTAGAACATTTCCTGAACGCGTCTGTTTGTTGATTAGTCACTCCTCGATACCAAACGGTGTCGGATAATTCCACGTTTTCATATAGCAGTGCGCACTGGCCCCACACCAGACATGTACTAAGTCTGGTGTTAGGGCCAAAAGGAAACTCGGACTACGGTAGATCAAGATCATTTCAATTTACTAAAATCTGCATTAAAATGCTTCCCGATATCGATCGCGAGATTGCTTTAAAAATTGTAGCAGTTGTACAAATTTGAGTGTATCAAGATATTAAACCAATATAAATTACAAATACCTGTATTTAAACCATATGGTTTTTTTTGTTTTTTTTTCTTATTTATTTTTTCCAGTTTCCGATCTACAAGCAGTCACATTCCCAATGTAGTGCATATAGATGAGAGGGAGAAAAAGATAGAGGAGCTTCTAGATGAGTTCATGCTTCCAGTATGCATCAATGTACAGGGACATTAGTATTTTGATAAGAGAGAATGTAATAAAACAAAATGTTTGAACAGAATTGTTTTATTTATTTTAAAAAAGTCCTAAATCATACCAGAAGACACAACAAATGTTTAGAGAGGTCGGACGGTGCAGTGGATAGCGCACTTGCCTTTCACCAAGGCGGACGTGGTTCGATTTCCCGGTAGAACGTGAAAAGGTATGGTTGGGTCACCTGCCTGATCACGTGGGTTTCTCCGTGTACTCCCGTTTCCTCTTAAAAATAAATCCTCCACGCGCGCTAGCATCCGTGCCAGCAAGAGTGATTAATATAAGTTGAAATAACTTGTTTCATAATTGTTGTAAGATAAATAAAAATTATTATTTATAACATATGCCATGCCGTGACGGCACACGTGTTTTTATTAATTTAGATGTGATTTTTTTTGTAGCGTGTCATCACCCCCTCACAGGATGACCCCTATTGGGAGATTCAGGTGTTCTTAGGCATGTAATATGTTAATAATAATAAAAAAAAATGTATTTACATCAGCATTTGCTTTAAAATGTGACATTTTCTAACACGTACAAGAATACTTTTTACAGCTGGTCCCGGAACCTCCCTATCCCTGTCCCCAGCGGACACTACCTACAACAGGACTGAGAGGGACACGTTATCGGACATCACCTGTACAGCTGACTGTAGACCTGACTGTACCTTTGTCTGGACAAAACCTGACGACACCAACTTAACTGCCTCCGCTGTGTTGTCACTGGGACAACTGAACAGGTCAGAACACGGGACATACAGATGTACGGCTAGAAATATTATCGGCGAGGCATCTTTAACAGTCAGTGTTACTGTAGTGTGTAAGTATGTTTGTATATGTCAATAAATAACTTTACCAATAGACACAGAATATCATTGGAAAGTCGACTGCAACCATCAGTGTTACTGTACAATGTAAGCACCGGTATGCTGGCTATTCGGTATAATGGGAAAGGTAGCAGTCCTCACTATTACAATTCTTAATTTTTTGGTTGAATTGTTATCATTCTTATTTTTTGGAAACCGGTGTCCGTTTAAAAAAAGAAGAGATTTTAAAATAGTTTGTAAATTTTAAATACCTTCAAACAACTTTGCCTTAATTTCTTTTTGGTCTTTAGTATTAACCAGGATTTCAGTTTGTTGGAAAAAAGGATGCTTATTGTTTATGCAGAGACTTTGATCAACTTGAAGCACATCCTTTGTCTTTGAACAATATCAATATTCATCAAAAGTTTCATAAAAGTACGGTAATGTTTTAACAAATCATCCGGAAGAAACCGTCAACAATTAGATCGCAGATTGTTGAATATTTATCCTCGGAGTTTTCTCTACTTGGGATCTACTCTTTATCTTTGAATAATATAAATATAGGTCTTTTGCGAAAACTGTTTACCAATCAGATCGCAATATTATGCTACATATTAATGCGCATTTTTAGTATTGTTGTATTGTACATACATAATAAATATATGTTGTTTTCTTTTTCAGATGGACCTGGGAACAGTGTTGTGTTACAACCCCAATCAAAAGTAGTGGATATTGTTGAAAATCAGACTGTACCCAATATCACCTGCTCTGCTGACTGTAGACCGTCATGTAGCTACACCTGGTCTAAATCAGACAAAAACTTCTCTAACCCGTTGAGTCTGTCTGTGGCCACGAGGGACAACGCCGGGCAGTACACGTGCACAGCCAGCAATACTGTCAGCGGTAAAACGGAGATGTGGAGCCTCATTGTTAGATGTAAGACTGTTTATCCCCTCGCAACGAGAGTTCGAAGGGCGATATGATTCTGCTCGATCGTGCGTATGCATATATGTTACACTCTTTGTCAACACTCTAGCCACTTCATTTCTCTACGTAATTTCATGAAAACTTAATGCAAGTGTTTAGTATGACAATACGTTGAACAAGTTCACGTTTTGGGTAACTGCGTTGAAGGTTTAGGACACTGTTACTATTTAAAAAAATTAAAAATGTCATGGTAATAATAATAAGAAGAAGAAACAACACAGTGCCGTGCCGTGACTCGAACCCGCAACCCTTCGGTCACGATACCGGCGTCCTACCATTAGACTACCGTGCCTGATGAAACTTCATGCTTTATGAAACTTCATACAACTGTTTGGTATGGCAATGCCTTGAACAAGTTAACGTCTCAGGTTTCTACTTTCAAGGTCAAGGTCACTGTAACTATTTTAAGAAACTTTTTAGACTTCATTCCTCAACAGAATTTCATGAAACGTGATACAAATGTTTGGTATGACAATACCTTGAACAAGTTTGCGTTTTGGGTGACTGCGTTTAAGGTCAAGGTCACTGTTACTATTTTTAGAGAAAACAAACTTGTCATCGATCTATCGACTTCATTCCACAACGGAATTACTTAAAACGTCATACAGGTGTTAGGTATAGCAAATCCTTGAACAAGTTCACGTTTCAGGTTTCTACTTTGAAGGTCAAGGTCACTGTTACTTTTTAAAAATAAACTTTGTCATCGCTCTAGCAACTTCATTCATTAACAGAATTTTGTGAAACTTGATACGATTGCTTGCCATGACAATACCTTCAACAGATGCAGTCGCTAGAGCAGTTACTTTAACATCATTGCATTTCTTGAGCTAGTAAAACGATGACTGCCGTAGAATGTTAGCTGAGCCTGCGCACTGCGTAAATACATTATTATTTCGCAATGACGCGTCAGAAAATTTAATAATATGAGGCACGGTAGTCTAGTGGTAGGACGCCGGGCTAGTGACCGAAGGGTTGCGGATTCGCGCCACGGCACGGCAAGGTGTTGTATCTTTGAGAAAGATGCTTTACCCCGCTTGTTCCAGTCTATTCAGCTGTGCATGAGTACGTTGTTGGACAGTGCTAGAATTGTTGAATGCTAGCTGTTAACGCCGAAATGGCAGATCCGGCTGTATGCTCCCCAGGGAGTTGAGAAAGATATTGACTGGTTGCAAAGGCCCTATAACCACGGTTAATAATTTGTGACCCCCTTTGAGACGACCTACGAACTAGGTCGTGATAAAGCGGTATATAAGAACCTCGAATTATTATTATTGTTATTATATAAAGTAAACAACAAAAAACTAAAATTACATTTAAAATATGCTGCCTGATGATTGGTTATTTAAATGGCCCTTCGTCCGTTCCGTGGTCCGTGGTCCGTCCGTGGTCCAATGTTCGTGGTCCGTCGTCCGTCAAATTTGATTTGTAGGTTTCCCTTGGTCTGTAGTTGTGCATGTTTACTTTTGAGACTGATCGGATACACAAAATGGCTGACAAGCAGCCATCTTTGATTTCGATATTGAATACTTGTAATCACTATTTCTCAGAAAGTACTTGAGGGATCTTTCTTAGATTTGATACGTATGTTCCCCATGGTCTGTAGTTGTTCAGTTGTGATAAATTGAGACTGATTGGATAAACAAAATGACTGTTTGTTTTTGCTTATTCTCCAAAATACTTTGATATATTGGTTTTACTTGGTCCTTAGTTGTGCATGCTTTTTTTTGAGTTTTTGTATACACAGCAGTATAAAATTAAGTTCAAATGAAGATGATATAATGGTGGACGCCAAGATTCCTCTGGGATTTCTTGTTTCTGTTCCTTTCAAAATGATTCGGCAATTGATAGGCATAAAACGTTATACAATGCTTTCGTTTTTTTATTCTCTTGCATTGTAGTTCCGCCTCGAATTATCAGTCTTAATTACACAAAAGGGGGCGCTGATGTCACTGAGAAGGGACCTAAAGCACTGATCTGTGCTGTAGAGAGTTTCCCTCCGTCTACAATAAAGTGGTATTTCAAAGCCAACAACAGTCTTCTTTCCACCGACCGGGACGTACTAGAGAGTACTTATAACCTGACAACTGCTGGCTGTCTTGACACGGGACTGTACACCTGTTTTGCCGATAACAATGTCTCGGACAGAGCAGTAACTATGGACATAGGAATCAATGTTTTGTGTACGTAATTTTTTGTCTGTCTATAATATCAATCTGGCTTAAATTCTACACGAACACCAAAGAAAACCTTATATAAAACCATGTCATACGTCTATATCTTTAATAACTGTATGACAATGTTAACGATAATGTATGCACTGTAACATGTATCATGCTTAATATATATATATATATGTCGGTAATTACATTATGGAATGTTTTGCACTGGAGATAATAGTTCCACTGATTTGATTACCTCTCCACTATACTTTTAAAAGGAGCAAAGTAATATCAATATATTTTTGAGGCAATATGATGACAACATATGTNTACAACAGAAATGGATTCCACAAATCTGTTTAATGGGGAAGACAACTTCAAGATATATACTACCTTCGAAACGACGAACCTGTCTTCGATGTCAGTTGGTACACGTACAGATATGCAAGAGACATGGTTCGGAGTGTACTCTGTCACGGCAACAAACAGTCAGGGAAGCAAAAATCTGCGTTTTACAGCTGTAGCGAAAGGTAAACAACCACGTCATTATATAAGGAGAAATTGAAGGTAATTATGAATACTCGTTATGATAATGTAGTCCTAGTTTTGTGGTCTTTGTTTTATTTGTTTGTTTTACAATTACTTATCTCTTGACTAACATAGTATGACTTATAACACTGTACATTTGTTCGAGTTAGCACCAGAAACATTTTACCTATTCCATCACAAGCACTCGGCTCACTAAAGTGAATAATATCAGGAAACACCTGGATGTAATAGTGATTAGTTAAAGATAACCACTCGTTCGATTTATTCTCGTTTATTTATTGTATCTTGTCCCCAAGTATTAATTAATGTATTGCTCTCGGAGACATATATGAAAGTTAGTCTTGTGTTACGTACAAGGTTGTTGTTCGATTTTATTAGAAAATGGCAATGTCTAACATCAAATAGTACAGGATGGAACAGACAACATTATTTGACAATCCTTAAACTTAAAGAAGAAATAGACAAATTAAATATTTGAAAATCTAATTAGTCAGTGATCATCATTCAAAGACAAATACACTTCCTAAGTGTACGGAGCTTCATACATATCGACGAACTACTGCTTCCAGACTTAAATCTGCAGTGATTAAATGCATCTTTTATGCTGCTAGGAATCTATTTGCCAGGTAAACTGCGACAAAAAACGTATTAATATTATATGTCTATATTGATAATACTGTATTTGTTTATAGTTATAGTCTCTTTGATTTATTATGTAATTTTGACTGATGCTGCGCAACTATGAAAGTATGAAAGGGCTGAAAGTGAATTGTATATGAAACTGAATCTTATGATATTATGTGTTTCCTGGTATAAGTATTAGTAAATAGAATGTTATATCAGAATAACAGTTTACATTATTTTTTTTCCCTCCATTTTTAATATAAATATATATTATGATGACATATTGAAAACAGTTGAATAATATATTACCTACATAAATGGTGATAGATATTGGATAATCATTCTAGACATGCAAAAACTGTATATTGATATCATATAGTATATGACGGATAATATAGTCCAATGTCGGTTCCAGTCTATGTAATTAGTTATGTTTTCTGGGTCAGTCAGATGCTTAGCCCGTAAGATCTATGCCATTAAACATCTAACTGATTGAGACTAGATTAGCCTATATGTACTTCCGGTTAAGTTCAGCGTCGTTTGATGACGAGTGAGGATCGAAAGACTGGATAAATTGGGTCGAATGGATGAGGTGTGGCATGCAGGTGAATGAATATTAGATGAAGGTGTATAGGTGATAGTGAGTCAGTCTTTCTTGACCACTTTTGATATTTTAAATGTTTATTTGTGTCCGTTATGTGTTTCTTTTGTGTGTCTTTTCTCTGTGTTCAGTTCTTTATTTCATCTCTTGTGTCAGACATCACGCCGGGCAAATACTGTTACTGCTGTGTAGTTTCCGTCAGTCAATTTTTACTGCCTGCTGTAACTCCATACATTGTTGTATGCATTGTAATTTCTTAAACAGTTGTGGAGGGAATTAAGATATTATCTGCCAATTGCCAGGGCCTTGGTGACAAGGTTAAGCGCAAGGATGTTTTTACTTATTTAAGAGATAGGCAATACAATATCTACTGTCTGCAAGATACTCACTTTACCGATGAACAGGAAGAAATATTACTGAGTGAATGGGGCTATAACTGCTATTTTAATTCTTTTAAATCTAATGCAAGGGGGGTAGCAATACTTATCAATAACAATTTTGAAGTCAAGGTGATAAAGGAAAAAAAAGACTTGACAGGGAATTTTTTGGCATTGGATCTAGAAATTGAAGGTAAGAAAATAACTTTAATTACATTGTATGGTCCAAACTCTGACAACCCAACTTTTTATGATAAAATAGAAGAAACTCTCTATGAGTTTAAAAATGATAGCTGTGTTATTTGTGGGGATTTTAATTTAGTTCTTAATCCTGATTTAGATTGTGATAAAAGCTACAAAAATGTTAATAATCCAAAGGCTCGTGAAAGGATATTAGAAATAATAAATAACTTTGATTTAGTGGATGTTTTTAGAGAACAGCATGCTGACATTTCCAGATATACATGGCGCAGGAGTAAACCTATCAAGCAGGCTAGGTTAGATTTCTTTTTGGTTTCTGGGAACTTATTACAAAGTGTATGTGAGACAAGTATAGATCCAGGTTACAGATCAGACCATTCTTTCCCCAAAATTATGTTAAAATTTAACGAATTTAAAAAAGGTAAAGGTCTATGGAAGTTAAATAGTTCCTTATTATATGACCTGGAATATCTTAATATAATTAATGATACTATTAAAACAGTTAAATTACAGTATTGCCTTCCTATATATAATCCTGAAAATATAGATGATATACCTGATTCAGATTTACAGTTTGTTATAAATGATCAGTTATTTTTAGAAACACTATTAATGGAAATTAGAGGTAAGTCAATTTCATATTCTTCCTATAAAAAGAAACAGTGTTGGGCAAGGGAAAAGACCTTAATAGATCAAATACAGGAACTGGAAAATGAGAATAATGTAGACTTAGACAAGTTACTTGAGAAAAAAAAGGAATTGGAAAAGATTAGAGTACATAGGATAAAAGGGAGTATAATACGTGCAAAAGCCTTATGGATTGATGAGGGTGAAAAACCTACCAATTATTTTTTTAATTTAGAAAATAGACATTTTACATCAAAAATCATTCCAAAGTTACAACAGGAAAATGGGGAATTTCTAACTAAACAAGTAGATATATTAAATGAGGTGAAATTTTTTTATGAACAATTGTATTCTATTGATAATGAAGTCGATGACATAGATTTGGATGAATTTTTAGAAGATTTTGATGTTCCAAGATTAAATGTTGAAGAAGCGGTCAGTTTGGAAGGTATTATTACACTTAAAGAAGCATCTATAACACTAAAGAATATGAAAAGTAATAAGAGCCCAGGCTCAGATGGATTCACATCAGAATTTTATAAATGTTTTTGGAATCAGTTAGGTAATTTTGTGGTTAGGGCATTAAATTATGGTTTTTCAAATGGTCAGCTATCTATTACACAACGTCAGGGAATAATTACTTGTATACCTAAGGCTAATAAATCAAAGTATTTTATAAAGAATTGGAGACCTATTTCTCTATTAAACATTGTATACAAAATTGCTTCTGGATCAATAACAAGTAGATTCAAATTAGTTTTACAAAAAATTATAAACTCTGATCAATCAGGATTTATATCGGGACGCTATGTAGGAGAAAATACTCGCCTGGTTTATGACATTATGCAATATACAGAGGAAAATGATATCCCTGGAATGTTATTAATGGTTGATTTTGAAAAGGCTTTCGATTCTGTCTCTTGGAAATTCATAGACGAAGTACTTAGATATTTTGGATTTGGAAACGATATCAGAAATTGGGTCAAAATTTTACACTGTAATTCAAGCTCTGCTATAAACCAGGGGGGTAATTTATCAGCTTTTTTCAAAATAAATCGTGGATGTCGTCAAGGAGATCCCATCGCTCCATATATTTTTATACTATGTGCAGAAGTTTTAGCAATCCGCCTTAGAAACAATAAGAGTATAACTGGTATAAAGGTTAATAACTGTCCCATCTTAAACTCTCAGTATGCAGATGACACTTCTCTGGTATTAGATGGTTCTGAAAAATCACTGAAAGGGGCGGTTGATGAACTAAATATTTATGCAAAAATATCTGGTCTTAAAGTAAATGTAGGTAAAACTGAAGTTGTCTGGATAGGCAGTAAAAAATACAGCAATGATGTTCTCCTTCCAAATATGAATCTTAGATGGGGAGTTAATAAATTTACTCTTCTTGGGATAGATTTCCATGTAGATCTTTGCAAAATACCTAAAATGAACTTTGATAAAAAATTAGTTAAACTTAAAGCTCTTATTAAGAGCTGGAGTAGAAGGTTGCTCACACCTATTGGTAGAATTAATGTCATTAAATCTTTATTAATTTCTCAGATGAATCATCTGTTCATTTCCTTACCTAATCCATCTGAAAAATTTATAAAACAGCTCAATTCTGTTCTTTTCAATTTTTTATGGAATAGCAAAACTGATAAGATTAAACGGGACATAATAATCCAAAATTATCAAGAAGGTGGGCTAAAAATGGTTAATTTAATGTCTTTTATTGAAGCTCTGAAAATAAGTTGGATAAGAAGGTTTTTTAGATCAGAAGGTAAATGGGTAAGCATTTTAAAATCTTGTGTAAATCCTCATATCTTGGCTAACTCAGGAAACGAGTACCTTAATAAAGTTCAAGGAAATTGCAAAAATGTGTTTTGGAAAGATGTGTTTAGGGCATGGTATAAATTAAGAGCAAAAGAGGAGCTGTTTAAAAATGAGAATTTTGCCCTACTTAAGACACCCTTATGGTATAACAAAAATATTTCTGTTGGTAATAAAGTTGTTTTTTATAGTAAGTGGTTTAAAAACGGGATTATGATAATTAATGATTTGTTGAAAAACAACACAGACTACTCTTTCTTGTCTTTTAAGGAATTTTGTGATCTACATGGTACAATAACTAATTATCTAGAATATCATGGCTTGATAACAAGCATAAAGAATTATCTGAAACAACTTAATTTGCCAAACAAAAATGTGATATACCCAATTATACCGTTACATCTTGTAATAATTTTAAAGAAGAAAAAAGGTTCTCAAGACTTCTATAATATACTTATCAGAAATAATGCATCAATAACTGCTCAAACAAAATGGGGAACTATATTCGACTATAATCAGGAAACTTGGGGGAAAATATATGCTATTCCTTTCAGGGTTACAAAAAATACAAAATTGCAATGGTTGCAATTTAGAATTAATCATTATATTTTAACAACCAATTCTTATTTATGCAAAATTGGACTTGTAAATAACCCACACTGTGTTTTTTGTATCATAGAAAGGGAGACAATTACCCACGTTTTATGGGAATGCAGGGAAGTACAAAAATTTCTGAGCAATTTTGAAAGTCTTTTAAGTGCTCTCACTATTCCTTTCTCACTAAATAAAGAATCAATGATCTTTGGTTTTATCAACCAAACTGGAATTTATACCAGAATTGATAATGAAATTACTCTGTTCATTAAACAATATATATACAAAACCAGATGTTTTCATAAGTCACTTAATGTGACGGCTTTAGTCAATTCGATTAAAGATTACTATAAGGTTCAGAAATATATTGCTCGTGGTAAAGGGGAACAAGGCCTTAGAAGATTTACTTCTGAATGGGAAAAATGGTTAAAATTAGTAGAGCTTGACCTCAACTAACCCTGAATATTATGACTATTTATATTAAGTTATTAGTTGTTATTCTACTTAAAAAAAACAAAATATTGACAAATACTCACAGCAGTTATTTATTTTATTTAGTATCTTCTCAGATTTGGCAGTCTGATCTCTCTCTCTCCTCTCTCTCTCTCTCTCTCTCTCTCTCTCAGTGCTCTTTGTCCCTTTGTTTTGTCTATTCTATGTGTGAAAGTGTGTGAAAATTGAATGTGTCTTGGTGATTGTATAAAATCAGCATCAGATGATGAGGATGATGAGGAGGATGAGGTTGCTGATAATTTCAATAGTAGATATGTGTGAATGTGTGGATATGTGTTGATGTGATGTTCTGTATAATGTACATGTTCTGAAAATCTTTGAAAATAAAAAAATTAAATTAAAAAAAAACAAAAAAAAACGTATTAATACAAATTGCATTCATTCAAACATGGAAAATAACATGGAAAAGAGTTCCTGACACTTTTTGGCTGGCTACTTATAAAACCACTTTTACTTTTGCATTTTAATGACTTTTTTTCTGCAATCATCATTTTTTAAAATAAACTTTATACTAATCCTTTCAACTAACATTGTAGAAAACAATTGGTAATTCCAAAATATATAGTTAGTTGGGCTTAAAATGATACATTTAAAACTGTAGATTAAGCTTTGATAACGCTATATCAGTCACTAAGTAAATGTCAGGAAATTTTGAAAAAAACACGATAATAAGTATCTGGTAAAGAAGAATATTTTAACATATATTCTATTTTGAAAACTCCAATCTGATTCTTACCATCGATGTGTTAAACTGAATTATCTGGCATAGAGTATTGCTGGCATATCAAACGTAAATAAGTTACGTTTTCTGCATTCGATACAGTAGATAACGCTTAAAGATTTTGCAGTTAATGTCATGTCTGATGGTAAACTTTTTCCGGATCATATTTGGAAAAAAAGAAGGAAATGCAATAGAACTTATCTCTGGTAAGAACAAACTTTTAAGACCTCGTTCCGGACCACTTAAAAACGAGCAATGACCTCAAAATGAATGGCTATCAATTTACTGGAATTGAGAAAACAGCGAAGACAAATACGTACAGATGTGTTTGTGAAACCTTGTATATGAAACACAACTGAGTAGCAACCGATACCTTAATGAATCAACCAACAGATAGACATGTCGGCTTAGTTTTGAATTTATAATACCTGTCGGTTTCTTGTAACGGTATTATATACCTACACATCCAATTGACAAAACACAAATTCATCAACATTCATCATAATATTAATTATGTCATAATTAGTATTTCTTTTCGATTCTTACTTAAATGTTGTATTCTGTGAGAAGTCTCTCCTTGCTTTATTGCTTATCTATGATGTGTTGTTGATAATCTATGACGTCACAATTTTGTCCCATCATAATATTACAGTATGCCGTTGAAGGTGTTACGTATTTTAATTGTTTATCATATAATGATTTTCTTCTTCCCTATTTTGTTTTTATCTTTTTATCTCAAGTGTATTTTTATGGGCGCTTATGCATGAACAAACCTCTTTTCACCTTTTCTTAAGCAGTAATGCGAATACTCCACATTTGAAAGTTTGATTGAAAATGGAATGCAAAATGTTACGTCAATGCTATGTCCTTCTTCTTTTCTTTAGGAAAACCAAGTCCTCCGTACGGGGGTACAGCTGTTTGCCCTGATGTAGATCAAGCCACTCTGAGCTGGACATCTGGATTCAATGGGGGATCTAGTCAAACGTTCATTGTTGGCATACGAAACGATATGCGGAGCAGCATTACGATCGATAGAAGTACCAACCAAACGGACCCGGGACGAGGCCATTTTGTTACCACCACAGTGTATGGCCTGAAAGCTGAAACAGAGCATTTCTTCACAGTGTATGCTGTAAATGAGATTGGCAACTCATCATTTCCAGAAGAAGTTAATTGTACAACTAAAGGTGATCAATTTATTTCCTTCATATTGCTTTAATAATGGATAAGACTGATCAGCAGACGAATACGTAACAAGAAAAACCAACATATTTTTGAAATTAAAGGAGGAAAACGTTGGACAACAATAAGCTTAAATGTTTTATCAAATTAAACTGTACAGGGACATATTTGTTGACTTAATCAACATTCTTCAGGTGATTTTGCTTTTGTTCGTTTGTATTTCTTAACACCTGTGTTTATTGTGTGATCATTTACTTATTTCTTCATCTTTGTGATGCATATCCCGTGGTGTGTAAGGTTTTTCTCACATTGATAAATTAATTCCTTTTAGAAAATACATGTTATTTGTGCCAACAACTTCTTGGATAAGTTGGACTGAAAGGTTGTAAATGTGTACTATTTCTAAATTTTGTCAGGCATGTTTGTTGTTGTTTTGAGAGAAACATGAATATTTATGGGTCATTCTTACTTGTTGAATTAAGCAAATATTCTTTCTCTGTGAGTATATGGTATTCAAAAAGAAACCGTCATACTTTGGATGTACTGAATTGTTTATGAATGAAAAACTCTCGTAGTAATTTATGGATGGCGATAAACAATGCAATATCTATTTTATAATTGTATTGCTTTAAAACAAATGCGCGAAAAAATGTAAAATCAATCCGGATACGCCTTTAAATGTGCTTTGACGATAATAAGCTTGATCCATTTGCTACAATGTAATTACACTAAACTGTAAGATGACTACATACTTGTGTATTCCAACGCTTAATAAATAGAGATGACACTCAACTTACACGTATTTCCTATAATACGTTTTACATAGGTGTTATTCAACGTTCACCAAATACCAACCGATATCAATTTCAGCAAAACCTCAAGGAAGTTCGCTAGGAGCTATTTTTGGCGGATTAGGAGTAGCAACAGTTGGACTAAGTGTGCTCGTTTTCGTCGTTATATTCAAGAGAAAGACATCTGAGAACAAACGTAAAGGTAATACATGCCTTGCTGAGCTCACATTCATATTTGCTTGTTTTGGTATTCCCTCAAATATTCTTAATTATAAATGTTCAGTAGATGGAAGTGGCAATATACTATTTCTGTTTATCCAAATTATTTGCCCTATGTGTATTTATTTGGAATTATGATTTTATTATTTTGTAATGGCATGGCCAAAGACTTTTATGTTTATTTTAGGTGCTCGAACCGTTTGACATAGAAATGTATTTTTTTTTTGTATTCTTATTATATACATATTATATATTTGAAAATGATGTAAAGTTTATATCCTATTACTTTGTTTATGAAAAAGTACGAGTATGTAATTGGTGGCGGTTAGTCCACATGTGGTGAATGAAGCATATACTTTGAATAAATTAATTTATAAACATTATCGACAAGCGTTCCGTTGAAAAATGACCAGTGAATATCTTTGTTTTTAAAAGGCGCTGATGAAGAGATGATATCAGTTGATCAGAGGTAAGTTAATCATCTATGTACTTGTCTATCTACTTTTCTATTTTAGTGATCAGCATATGTTAAAGAAAATCATTAAAATGTACTATTTTTAAAGGTTTTATTAGCCTTTAGCTCGCCTTTAGCTATGCTTATTATATCTCCTTTTAGTGAGAAGGCGCCTGCTTGTTTTACTTCTCTCACCTAATGAAAAATGACAATTTACTATAATTATATTTATATCTTTTAGTTTCATGTTGCACCACACACACCGTTTACATTTGTACTACGAACAACATTTTCTGCAGATTGACATGGGTAGTTTTGTATCAGTTCATGATAACCAGCATCAGTTGACATTTGGAGGCAAGATGTTATACTTAATTATAATTCCCCAAAAAATTAAATATACCCGAAAAGTTGGGTGTCCGTCCGTCTCTCTGTAGTGCTTGTCCATATGATAATTTGCGAAAATTTGTACTAATCATCCTACGTGTCTAATCATTTAAAGTGGGGTCCAATTGTAACGTTCCGGGGTCCGTACCCTAGTCACTTCTAAGGATCCCTGTGCTGTAAGCTTAATTATAACTATACTACAGTTGCAAATATATACAAATATGTGTTACTACCTTGTAACCAGCATACCTATTACCTAATGCTTAATACATGCTATGAACAGAACAATTATTGCACGACTATAGAACTAATACCAAAGCTATCTGATCTGTTTCAATATAACACACTACACACACTACCGTACAATCCAGGCAGAACACAACTCGACAACCTATTCGCGGCTAGCCCTAGTCACTATAGTTGCTCTATAGTCAGCTACCTAGCTATATGACCTAGTCGTGCCGATCACGACAGCCTTATAATAGTATACAACTACGGCACTCTCTAATGACCACGACTATCCCTAGTCACGACTAGCTCTAACGAATATCCCTAGTCACGACTAGCCTGGTCGTGACTACCCCTAGTCACGACTAGCACCAACGACTATACCTAGTCACGACTAGCACTGCACAGCCTATGCCCGTGACACCTTCTGTCTAACGGTATCTCGCTACAGCACTCAATCGTTTATTTAACATATCTTCCATGCAGTGTGTGGATCAAGGCAAGATTTATTCAGTCACTTCTATCTTTCCAACACAAAGACGGTCTCGCATATATTGGATACTTGCGATCTGTCACTGCTGTACACACGCCGAGATCAGAACAGAACTGGGCCGATTGTCGCTGGTTTCTGCCTATGTATACCCTCTTGCTATCCTAGCGACACCTAGCGGTGAGTGAGGTATAATCACCTGTACGTTTTGATTGTACCTCGAAAACTATCTGTCTTCTAAGCGTTCGAATTACGGAGACAAAACACAAATGATTAACGCCAAGAGATCAACGTATCTAACCTGAACAATATGCTAAATCAGCGAAGGTAGGATTACGATATGTACATTCATCACACAATAAATGTCAATGACACTGTTGATAAAACTAGAATTAAGTTGTTATGGGCTTGTCCAGATGATAACCTGTGAACGAATTATATCGTACATAATTCAAATGTGGTGTGTGGGTGTCCCAAATAGATGCAATGAACCATATTGATTTTTGGCGTTGAGTGCCAGAATTGAAAGTCACTTTCGTTTTAAATAGGGTTCTGGTTTGTACGGATGATCAATTGGAAACAATTGATCATACAAAATTCAACTTAGTTGTTTGCTTACCCTAGTAGATGCAAAGAGTGGTGTCGATTTTGGACGTGGTCAGTCAGAGGTCAAAGCCACCGTTGGTAAAAAAAGAACTCTGTTCGTCCAGATTATAACTTTAGAACGAAAAATACAAATTTCAACCGCGGTGTTTTGGTTGCATTACTGGATGCAAAAATCCTATGATCCTATGTTTTCGATCCAATTTAGCCTGAGAACTGTCGTTAGGTATGTGCATACCATACTGGATTGGAAATGGATTTTGTATTGGGCAGTTATTGAACCGAAACTATAACTTGACAGAGGGACGAACATACATTTATAAGCTTTCCCTACGTTTTTCATAGCGCGCAATAATAGGCAGTATAAGGAAAGAGCAGTTAAGTAACATAGCCTAGAGCTCACCTCTGCATATTGCTCAATAAATGTATTATGTTTGTCTTTGTCACGAGCGAAAATTTGACACCCTCATAATGTCTACACTATTACTTCACTGTCCAATACACCAATTTTAAGTAATTCGTAGGAAGCATAGGTTTGTAAGGATTCAGTGTTATATAGGAGATACCATTGCTATTGCGTCTTTTACCCATACATATATGCACATACTCTCCTAATATGATAGAAGACGGCTTTGTCAGCAAATGACAAATGAAGCCTTGCTTTTGATCGGTACAAATTGAGATATTGTCTGATTTCAAACAAATTGTTTGTGCACCGTTTTGTATCTGTAAGGACAGTTTAGGGTACGTAAAATCTTTATGACAAACCTTCCTTTACAACATGTTGCATCAGCTTTAATGAGCTCTAGGCTATGTTACCGTGGAGGCACAGTAGTCTAGTGGTAGAACGCCGGACTCATGACCGAAGGATTGCGAGTACGACTAACGTCACGGCACTGTGTTGTATCTTTGAGCAAGATACTTTACTCCGCTTATTCGAGTCTACTCAGCTGTACATGAGTTCGGAGTTGGGTGGTTGCTAGTTGTGAGCCCCGAAATGGCAGTACCGGATGTACGTTCCCAAGGGAGTTGAGAAAGATATTGGCTCGTTACAAACGCCCTATAACCACGGCTATTTTATGAACCGCTTTGAGCAGATCTACGAACTAGGTTAAATGAACGCCGTGCCGTGACTCAAACCCCCAACCCTTTGGTAACGACCCCGGCGTCCTACCACTAGACTACCGAGCATCCTAATGTGTTTAGTTAGATAATAGTTTATGAATATGTAGAACAAGAACACGAAGGAAAAAATCGCACAGTTTACATCAAAGCATGACTTTGACCTTTTATCGATGACACAGGGGTCAAATGTATTAACCTATGATACTGACCACTTCTATTTGGCCCCACCTTTTTGTAAGAGGCCATCAACTTTGTTCAAGTAGTTATATCATAGTCATAATTGACCCCTATGGTAGGCTTCTTTGCTACCATCTCTGTTAGATATATTTGACCTTGATCTACCCTGATTTGACGCAGATGTAGGAAGTGATTGTCAACGCAATTTTTTTACGCCTGGAATCGTATTTATTCTTTCAATCTGTTAGCCTTGAATACCTTGACTTGTATATGCTTTTATATGATTTATAGTCATTAAATGTAGCATAACTATCAATAGGCAAGCTTAACTTAATTTTATATCAGTGTTGTAAGTGTAATAATTATATTTCAGAAGATCTGTTGACGAGGAGAGTTCAGGTAATATATTTGCGATAGCACAGTTATTTCTTGAACACTTTACACAAGTTCATTTGACACATTAAACATACATCTTTTCACGTCATCACAAATCGCCTTTCGTCTGCTCTCCATCGTTTGTCTGTTCGTTCGTGGTTAAAGCAATTCCTGTTACTACCTCTTTGAATTAAATGTGCAGAACTTTTTTGATATATCGGTTTACTCCGATTCTTACTTGAACAAGTTCAGTTTAAAACTGATCAAAAGAACAAGATTGCTGCATGCGACCATCTTAGATTTTGACAATTAAAGCATGCTATCGCTATCTCGCAATTTACACATGGCGGATCTTTCTCAAATAGCGCCAGCAGGTTCCCTTCTTTTACTGTACACATATCGTTTTGGACTTGAACTGGAAAACTGCAGGATGGTCGCTAAAAAGCCATGTTAGAGTTTGACAGTGAATTTTGTTATCACTATTTCTGAAAAATGACTGGAGGGATAGTCCATCGTGATCCTTCTTTGTACATGTTTAATGTGGAGGATACGATAGACGAAATGGTAACCGAACGACCATACTGGTGGAGTTTGACAGCTATATATTGTTATCGTTACATTTTTTAAAGTTCTGAGGGATTCTTCTTAGTTGAAACAAATGGATATTTCGTCATCCTTGGTAGTACATATTGAACTCGAATAAGAAGAATGGATGACAGGCCGGCGTATAAATCACACTTGAATACGACAGTTTAAACTTGTTTTGGAAATGTATAAAAAAGTATTGCAAGAACTTTGATCTAAGTTTCTATAAAGGCTTCGTAGTGCAGTTTCAATTTTCAGCATGATCGGAAAATATTTGCCACCGAGAGGACATTTTGATTTTGAGCATTGAAATTTACAATCGCTATGACACATAAACCTTTGTACATATCTTTCTCAAGTATCACTTTTCCACTCTATTGCCAACTTCGCTTTGATTGGGCTATTGTCAGACTCGAAAATATTGTAATACCGATGATTAAAATTAGCATTTTGAACTTCTGTTAAAAAGTGTTTGGCTAACTGAACATGCAATACATTGAGAGGTATATCAATTAAGCGGTATTTTAAATGTGTCATACATAATCACAACGTATTTTTATTAACCAGAAAAAGTGTACGAAATTGATAATTATAGATTCCTTGTAATATACAAGATTACGCCTGAATTTAATTACCACTCAGGTGACCGTTAAGGCTGTTGTTCTTCTGGTCTTTACTTTGTTGAAACCATTTTGAAATAACATTGTAACTTAATCCCATTTGGAGCCCAAAACTTGAAATTGCAATTATCCCTAGCGTTTTCTCTATTAATAACATAACAGGATATTGCTGAAATGCAGTGTAAAGAAATAAGCAAAAAGGTTTAAAATCAAGTAAGCGTCGTTTGTCCCGATTTTGTATTATTTTGTAAAACGAAAATTAAAATGTCTCTTTTCCTCTTTGTATTTTATAGTGTTTATAGTTTATTGTCTAGTGAACAGCCACTAACTAAAGCTATATATGAAATCATGTAAAGAATCTAACGGTTAAAGTGAATTGGTGCCTTTCATTACAGATGGCATGAAACCCAATATTCTATATGAGTCAGCAGGTAAGATTGAAAAAATATCAACAAGTCAGAATTTAAATTCTATCACAAAACATCCACTAGCTTAATGAAGATTATATTTGATAAGCCCAACATCTTAAGGGTTCAGTTGATAAAAAGTTGATTAGATTAATCAGTGATTAGCACAAATTTCATTGTTCTTGTATTTTTAAAACTCGGCCAATACATGAGTTAAAACTTTTAAGATGGAAAATATTTAGCAGAGTAAAATTGCATACTGACTGACGGGCTGTTACCTTGTATATTGACAAAATAATAGAGGTAAGAAATATAGTTATACAGTAATCAAACAAATCACCTTTTGAACACCTGGACCCAGCTGGTGTGCTGTTCAAATCGCCTCTCGTCAGTGGTCCGTCTGCGATTCAGTCTGTCCTTCCTAAATCTTGTTAGCGCTATAATTCAGAAAGTTCCCCGATGTCCTTACGCAAATCAAAGTGTGGGTGTTATCAGAATCAACAAGTGATGACAAGCTGCAATCTTGAATTTTGAGAGACATTGTTTGTTAGCGCTCTTTATCAGGAAGGACTAAAGTGATTTAACTCTGATTTCAAATAAATGTTTCACATGGTCCCTGGTTACGCAAGTCTTATCGGGATTCAAGATGGCCGATAGGCGGCCAAATTGAATTTTAATAGTTAACGTTTGCTAGCTCTTTTTCGCCACTGATTAAGATTGTGCACCGTGCTTTTACAAATAGAGTATTGGAAATTAGAGTAGAGTAATGCCCATTTGTTGAAAAGCTTTGTTCGCATTACTTCTCCAATATGAATAACAAAATGTTTACGGTCAAAGGTTTAGTAAGGTACCCGAAGTAGCATTACATCCCTTCCATAATGAATTTTGCCCCGTTGTTTGAAAAACTTGTTACCTCAAAATGATGCCACCTTTTTAGGTGAAAATTCGCGCCAAGATCTTTTACACAAGGGATTGTAAATAAAGTGTTATATTGGCATTACCTGTCATTGTATTGGTCTATGCCCCTTTACTTAAAATTAGTCTAGAAATAAATATTCTTATAGTTATTGGTACAAACGAGGTAATAGAACCCATTCTGGCAACAGTTATATTTTATTTTATCGAGGTGGGTACAAAAACAAATCTGCATAAATGATCATTCTCGAATATATAGGAATACCATTATTGTAGGATCAGTAACACAACGCAAGAACAGCATCAAATATACATTGTAATCTTCACAATAGGGCTAAAACCTAACGTTCTGTATGAGTGTTCGGGTCCACTACCAGGAAGTTCGTCTGAATATGCTGTGGTTGAGAAATCTTCCAAGAATAAATCTGTATCACCGGATGATGTATATGCTGTTGTGGACAAATCAAAGAAACCAGAAACTACGGATGACGTGTATGCAGAAGTTGTCAAACCTAAAATAAAGAAAGGCAAAGGTAATGTATATACCACATAATCAGTAAAGTAGACGATCTAGTGTATATACTTAGTAAATTCCTTTGGACTATAACTATCTTAAATCTAGAAATAATCTTTGTGAGTAATCTGATAACGGGAGCTATCTGTTTGTCTTTCATATAAACGTCTTACGCCAGCATCAAGTCATGCGTAAATAGAAAAAACAACGATATAGACACTTGAATAAATTCATCCTAGATTTATATCTGAATGTTAAATACATAATAATAATTTCTTTTATGGGGCAGGGTGTCGTCTCATTGGGTGCACCTTGACCATACCGCGATCGAAACGATATTTCATATATACGGATGTACCTATCGTTTCGTTAAATTAATTGTATTAACGTTCTACCAGCGGGCGACCTGGAAACAGGCTCTCTAATTTTTTTTCTTGTGGATTCCTTATCAGTTTTTGTGATATTAACTCTGCACAATACTATTACGATGACATATAGGAAGAAATCCATAAAGACAATTCTTTATTCGATAATTTAATTGTCATGAATTTCTCAATTTTTACAGAGAAAAAAAAGCAAGGCAACGTAAAGCAAAAAGGTACGTGTAATCCAAAAGTAAAGTCGAATATTGAACAAAATAGATGTATCGCTATTTATGTGCACATATACACGAATCGGATCTATGTGAGTTTGCATCATTCACCATCCAATAGTTCAGAACGTTACTGTTCAGTAGAAGCCCTTTTATTTCTGTCCTGTGGTTCAGCAAACCATGTAGCCTCAAATAATTTGGATTGGCCATAAATTAATGTTAATAATATCAGGCTTTGATTTTCGTCGGAATATCATCTAAGGAGTAAACATACTGCTTTACAAGTGTTTAACGTAGAGATATTTAAATACTGAACGATTGAAGAGATCAATATTGCGTCTTGAATAATCTATCATTGTATGGTAGCTTCCTTCTCGCATTCTAAAGAGATGTTGCTCGCATATCGATGCTTGGCTAACGCCAAAATGGATTGACAGTAGATATCCTGTAAGCCAAATCTAGTTTTGCTTCCTCATTGTCCAGCAAGTGATTTAGGTTTCATTTAAAACGATTGTTTCCTGGAATCGAAATATGTTCAACGTTTGTTGGAAACGTGGATGGCTGAATTCGAGAAGCTTCACTGTGCGTACAAAAGGTGAAAGTTCACCAAAGCAAAGCTTTCACAAAGTAAGACAAGACGATAAGTTACTCGACCCTGTTTGTTATTTAAAAAAAGGCTTATATTGATGTTTATGACTTTATTTCTAATAATCTATGCACGAGTAGGATATGTATCCAGTGTAAGTATGTAAATATATATAAAATATGTAAATTAAAACTAAATATAGCAATTCACAAGTTAATTTAAACACTACCGCAATTTTAGAGCAGATAAAATATACAACGTAACTAAAAATAACTATAATCCAATCATAAAAAATGAAACAAACATTAACTTAGTGAACAAAAAATGAAATTATAGGGAATTTAACAAGCCTCTTCCATTATATGTAAATACAAGATATTTAAAAAGTCAATACAGTGTACAGTTTGTTAATTGATAATTGGATCCTATGTTTAAAAGAGTGCCAAAGACAGATAATTTCCTCATAGGTTATATAGACTAGTGAGAAAAACGTTCTTTAACTCAACGGACATGGGTTTAAAGTTACTTTATTCTCTCAGCATGATATATATACACATATATTACGTTAAGGTCAAATATCATATATTTAAAAAGATTCAATGTCCGTGTGAAGTAAGTAAGTCAGAACAAATACGATGTAACGACCGACTTAAAAAAACTAGAAGCTTGCACCTTTTTTAGGGCTATTCATATTATATGCATTTAGTGTAAATTATATATTTATTTTGCATAAATACACTAAATACGTCTCGCTAAGCAAAAGCCTAGTAATGACAGCTATTTGACAAAATGACGAGGAAGCCAATTCAGTAACAATGTAAAGCAACTCCTCCATAAAAGAAACAAGGTTAATTTTAATTTTTCATGTGTAATGGTTTATGTTTTGTTAAACCGGATAACGTAAAATAACCATAACTTGTTTGTTTTACATTGCAGGTGGCATTGGGAAAAGTGAAGGAAATGACGTCTATGCCAATTGCAAGGGAGGAGAAAAAAAAGTTCCGGAGGCAGGACTTAATCGTCAAAAGGTAAACTGATATATATATTAACAAATATGTTTTATAAGTATTCTCCCCTTCAAGTAAAGGTCATGTTGTTGCAATATCCCAGTTGGTTTTATTAAATTATTAGATGTTACTTCATGGTAAAAGAAATTAGGTACATATTTAACATAACGAGGAAGTGATAAGTATATGCATATCACTTAGAGGTATAGAGTGCAAGTTTTGCAATCCCGTTACCTGAATAGTTTTCGTTTATGATCGGTTTGTATACGCCCGTCTAATTTCGGTATTTCATGGTATAGCGTCTGCGCCCGACCGTCCTTCCGTCCTGTTAAAGTTTTGGTACAAGTTTCTTCAGTGGTCTACAGTTCAGTCAGTGTTATTGTCCTAATTTTTGCATGATGTGGGGTTTAACAAGGACACTATGGATTTATTTAGGAAAATCATTTATATTTTTGATAATTTTTGACGTGTTTGGGACTTAACTTTTCTCGCGCAATTTCTCGGTTAAAGTTTTGGTGTAAGTTTCTTCAGTGGTGTACAGTTCAATCAGATCATGTGTTATTGTACTAATTTTTGACATGGGTGTCCATGTGGGGTCTACGAAGGACAATATGGATTTAATTTAACAAACAAAAAAATCATTGGATAGGGTCAGACGGGCGTATTATGTATCCGTTTGCGGAGCTCTTGTATAGTAAGGATTACCGGAATTCAGCTGAATTTGTATTTTATTCAAAACGTAATCCTATCTCAAAAAATACCAGAATGATAATACATCAAAGATCAAACTATGTTATATTTGATATTAAATTCTGCTGAAAACCCAGGTAATTATAATTGTCTAATCGCGATCAGTTGTGGTGTATATATAGGGAACTGCTTGCAGGTATTCGTGACAATGTCCTCACTATACAGATTTCAATTGTGATCAGTGGTCGTGTTACGTCCGGTATTTATTAACAAGCAACATATATTCTACGAGGTCACGTTTCATAACTTTACCATTATTTAAAAAAAAGGCTTTCCTTTGAAATCATTTCATATTTAGCATCCGGAGTCAAACAAGAGGTCAATGTTACTATAGATATAATTGCACTTCATTTCTTTACCCCGTTTTCTCATCTGATTTTCATGAAACTAACATACATGTTTACAAATAGCCCCTCTTCTACTTTTACCAGTTTGTATTCTGGGGATGGATCAAAACCAGGGCCAACTGTACCATGCCTCAATTTTTCTGTCATTACTCTTTACTCTTATTACTTATCCAGTTTTCATGAAACTTTTATGTACAGGTGTTTTCAAAAACATCATTATGGAGTTTTAGGTGATTTTAAATTCTGAGGTGAATAAGGTGACCAAATTTTAAAGAAACTTAATGTCCATGTTTAGAAACTGTTTCCGTTGAGAGCTTTCTGGGATCACCGTTACCATTATTTAAGAATAGGTATTTGACGTCATCGACCCCATGTCACTTCAAGCATCCGATGCACTGAGTTTATTGGATGTTGTACACTTTAAGCACATATACTTTAATTTTATGCAAACACTGTCGTTGAAAAATGGCTAAAGGGAATAGATATATAATATATGCCGTGTCAATGCTAACAAGAACACTTTACCACACAGATTTTAAGCGGTAATATTTGACTGTTAGCATTGACCATGCAAGCAGTTTAGTCATGCTTTATTCATCAATAAATGACCCTTTGATAAGATCCAACTGTATTTGGTCAGTTAAACATGCAAAACTTTGATAGAAGATGGACATTTCGTTGAATATTAATGTTGACATAGTGATCTGACAGCTGCATTTCGTTAATAACAACACCCGTTAGCAATACAAATCGGAGGTTGCAACACTTAGAATGTTTGTTGAACTGCACTTTCCTGATGAATTTTGATGGGGATGTATATACTTTACCAATGTTTATAGAAAACCGTAGAAAAGTCTGCCGTTGTATCTTAACAAAAAAGTAAACAGGAACAAGGATAATGCAACCAGATAATTTTCTCGATGTAGAACATTTGTGGCATAATTGTATGAAAACAAGACGCATCCATACATCAGATGCCAGCAGACATACTTTGTTATTAAATAAATAAATAATAAAAAAAAAATCACAAAAACATATATATAAAGTTGCGCATCATTACAACGCTATCTATTGAACATTGTAACGACAATTTTCATTGGTTAATAACCATTAATTATTGGACGATAAACCATTCGCACGCATGTATCATTTTCACACAGACTAACAGTCTTTCAAAAACCACCCCAAAAATGTTCCATTTAACAAGCAAGTTGCGGTACTGGTTTTATTTGTCGAACGAGGGTACCCTCATATAATTTTATACATGTATCTATTCAAAGATCTACTAGCGAAGAAACATATATATATATATATATGTATCAATCTTCTATATCTATGTACAGTCAGAATGTTCCGCTTAAATTACAGTTATACTGGCTTATAGAAGTGTTTGCATATCTGTCAATTGCTGATTTATGTGTTGACGAGCAATGTCGATATATTTGATTTGATACATTGAAATCAACATCTCGCATATTCATGACTTCAGTGTTTATTCTTTATCTTCCTTCAACCGAATGGTGACTGATTATAACAATTTCCTCCCAAATATATCCAGGCTAAATAGGAAAAATAGGACAACTGCCCACAGGGTCAGATATGATAAAAAGTGTAGCTTGTGAAATGAAGACATATATGCTTCACTGGACTGCATGACTATCAGCCCCTACATTTTCACGACGAATTTCCCAGCTGCATTTCATTTTAAGCTTATCCCCCAAAGTCTGAGAACCAGGTGACCACACTTGTTTTCTAAATAGTTAAATATTCTAGAAACCGGGGCCCGTCTGAGCCTTCACTTGACAAAGTGAGCGCAAAAGAACAGCCACGATCAAATACTTACATTATCTTTGTCACCTTGCGTATCAAAGGCAAATGGATACTGCGGTAGATACGAAAAAGGCTTCCGGCACATGTTAAGTAGTTGAATGGGTATAATCTACATATATGTCTATCATGGTGGAATATATAACTCCGGATTAGAAAATGTTGCAAAATGTTGGCAAAATTCAGGCCGCAAGCTACTTTCGTTAATTATTTTTTCCAACATTTTCTCACCCTAGTTAAGAAACTCCAGTGGAAAACTCATTGAAAAAGCAGAGAAAAAGATAGTATTTTTTGTGACTATACTTCGATCTCACAAGAAAAGGGGAATTATTTTGTTCATCACCTATGCTTCAATATAAGTAAACAGTACCTAAGTAAACATTGTTTAAGTAAAACGTCTACTTGCTGTTATTTAACGAAACAAAGATAATATTCATCAGAATATTACTCTATAATATATATTCAATTACAAATGCTTTTTAATATCTCTTATCAGAATCAAGATGGTCTCATCTACTTGGATGTGGAGTTCAAAGGAGAGCAGGAGAAAGGCATGTTTACGGTTATCCATGGCGTCGAAAACAGATCAGATTATGCAGATGTCGATTTCACCAAGCATGCCGAACCCTTACCACAGGAGAACGAGCAACCAACGGGGGATGTTAACGTTAAGTAAAAGTAAATATCTCCCAAATATTTACATTTACATTTATGGTTCTCAAAATTATTGTAGTAAACCTGAAAGAGGTTATCGTTTTTTTTAAGATTAAAAAGACTATAGCAGATATAATGCAAGTTTCTCTGCAATGTTAACTACGGTATGAATCAAAATAAGACACAATGAAACAGTATGGTATATTACTATTTAGGACTGTGATCATGAGATGACAAGGAATGTCATATTGCAGCATGATAACAGTAACAGAAAATTCACATTACATGAGAAAAACACGTGCATTGGCGTTCATGACATCTTGGCAAAATATGATGTTTTGATAGTTTTTTTCAAATATTCAGGTTTAAGAATACTGAAAGTTTTAAAACATTTGACATCTGAGACCTATATCAGACTGAATGGGTAATCATCTCGGCATGTTACAGATCAACTGTTCTGACTCTAGACCTTGTACAACTTGAGGAGTTCTAAGAAATTCGTACCCAAAACTAGCGCATGAAAAACCCCAATGTTGTCGTTTGACACAGACTTTTCCCCGAAAACAGTTGTTGAACTACAAACTATCTAAAAAGATGCAACTGATTGCTTCATCGATACGTAATTACTATTTCAACAGTCGTTTGGATTTCCAACATTGTTTACCCTAACACAACCAATGAGACCTAAAAGTACGCAATAGCTGTATGATGCAGTGTTATTCATTGTTTGTGTATGGTATAGATTACTAAAGTTTAAAAGTGCGATTACCTGTTTGCGTGTTACGTTCGTCTTTCAAATATCACGTCATGACAATATAATTGTTTTTAAAACTAATTGAAAATTAGTACTTCTTCTGATTATGATCTACAATTTATCTGAGATATAATAAACAAATCTGTTACCATTAAATTATAGCAGAAGAATAATGAGAAGATGAATAATACTAATATAGCAACAATACGAGCTTAATTGTCGTCCGTCAACTTTTTCGTTTATCACCGAATTTGGTCTGGAACATCAATGGCCAAAGTGTTCTCAATTTTGTATAAACAATACTACTGTAAACCGGGAAGTTATCGCCCAGTTAGGATCTCGCCGTTCCCCCGAAAGCTACGGAGAGCGAAACAGGCGAAAATCAAACTGCAGCAAAAATGCAGTATGTCTTTCATCATTTGTTGAAATGCCCTATAAAAGAGAATTGGTCTGTATCACCGATTAGACCACTCATAATTTTGTTAATCTGGTTCTGTAGTCTATCCATCGTCACACCTCCGTATAAGACCTTTTTAGGTACAAGGACGTTGAATTTTAAAAAGAAAAGAAATATTGGGAATGAAAGAAACCCATTTACACGACGCTGCAATCGAATAGTATCGTCTGAGTCTTATGTATTGCATTTTAGAGCTTAATTGTCGTCCGTCAACTTTTTCGTTTATCACCGAATTTGGTCTGGAACATCAATGGCCAAAGTGTTCTCAATTTTGTACAAACTTGTTCAAGAGCATATTTGGCTAAAAGGTTTCAAATTTTGTATAAACGAAAGGGTATGCCCCCTGGGGGCAGATGTGCGGGGCCAGATATGGGTAAAAGAGGAAACAATTAAAGATCCTTCTCATTTTGTACCGATGAAGGGATTTTTACCAAACTTGTTTTATAGCATCGTTTGACAAAGGGGCCTCAACTTTGTATAACGGGAGAATGTGACCCCCCCCCCCATATGACAGGGGGGGGGGGGGGGGGGGGGGGCAATAGGGGAAACAGGAAATATTTGCTCCTGTACAAATGAAGGGGAGGGCCCGGAGGTACAGATCAACCCCTGAAGACCACTTCCCTGTGACATAACATGTTTTTGGTTTCTTACTCTCCCAAACCGATGTACATGTAGTTCTTCTTGCAACTTGTTCTTGTTCTCCTTTGACAAACCTGTATGATACTCAGCTGGTTTCAAATTGAAAATAAAATACCAGGTGATCTATAAAGGTCACTGGGCCTCTTTTTATCTTGCTATAATGTTAATTCGAAATGGATTAGCTTTCTTTTAACCCTGGACAGGCGAATCCTCACTTTCCCTGGTGTGAGATATCCTTGTCTCAACCTATTGTTGAACAGGCGGTTTCTCCTATTTATAACAAATGTATAACGTCACGTCAATAATGCATCAGCGTCACCTCAATCCTGCATTTAGCCTGTATCATGTATATGATACACAATGGGTGAACAGGGTAAGAGAATACAAAATATTCACCCCCTTGATGTGAGATTGGGAATCTCAACCCTCGCGGAAAAAATCTTCAGTTGCCAAACGCGCGGTACAGCCTTGTGTTTGGCAACTTATGAATCGCCCCACATGGGTTGAGATACCTTTATCTTACCCCAAAGGGGTGACAAGTTCTAATAATCTATTTCGATATAATTCTGTTTTTTTTTGTTTCTGTTTCAGTTTAAAGCATCGTTAATGACTTGCTGGACATCAACGATCTTTTATTCAGATTATTATGTCCTTACTGAATTACTACATTCACTCATCTTGTTATACTTGTCTAGTTATCGTTCTACAATACAAGCATAACTTACTATTTCATCCACGTGTACCATTTGCCATACGTTTATATATATATATATCAAAGATGTGGCGTCACATTTATAAAGAGGGATCCGTCTGTAGGAAGAAGTTACATATGCTTTAGCTCGTTTTTGATACCAAAGATTGTCCGCAGCACAGTTTGCTATTTTTTAACATCAATTAGTAATATAATTATGCCTATGAATCTTGAAAAAGCATTTCAAGATCGGTCTCGTGCTCTACAAGCACTAATATTCACATATTTATTATACATATGTATCATGGAAATAATGAAGTAATTTCTTTTTTAAATAATGATTTGTTGATGAAGATCTAGGAAATGGTCAGAAGAAGGCAACCCTATACAGATTTATAAAACAAACAATAAACAATAATAAGGCACTCCTGGGTATGCTTAAAGAAGTACAGTATGTTGCCACACATTGAAGAAATAATTTGCTAATCATGGGTAGTTTCAGATGTAGATTGTAGTTTTAACGTTTCATAATAACTTTTTTGATAATGTTGTTACAAGAATGCATCACAACAATTGAATGGACGACGATTTGTGAAATCTTGAATCTGAGTCATTGATATTGTTACATTGAATTTGACGAACGGATATCATTTCGCTCCTGTGGTATATCTTTTTAAACACATGTCATTCCATGTATCACCTTATACTGATGAAAAATAGCTGCTGTACTAGCTAACACATAGGAATGAAAGCAAAAGGAGATTGCATGCAAATAAGAAACGAGAATGGATATCGTTATCATCAGTTTAGTTGTCAGTCAGGCATAGCATGAATGTTGAATAATGCAGGGTTATATTATTATTATTCTTATATATATATATTATTTTGCTAAAATGTTTAAATACTGTTCGCAGATTGCAGAGGGGGTTTCAGTTATCCACGCCAGACGTACAGTTATTGAAGTGTAGTTTTTTCTAGTAATTTTTGAGAACGAATGAAAATGATAGAAAGAGACTTAAGAAAGGAGATAAATAGTAATACATGAAGGATGGAGAAGTGTCTATTGATATATCCGAGTTTTGATTTTGAACTTCATGTTGAATGAACCGTCATGTTATGCGTTTGTATGAAATATGACACAACGACAATGTATCAGCAACTTCAATAGGACAGTGGTACACAGTTGTTGGGAGCTACACCAGTGGAACATTGTTCGTTTCACGGATCGGTTCAGATTATGCTTGTTACGTGTTGGAAATAGGAGTAGAGTCTCGAAACTTTTAGATGAACTCTTTGCGAACTATTTCATCGTTAAACGGGACCGTTTTGGTGGTGAAAGTATGATGGTCGGGAGCGGTGTTCTGGTGTCAACCGTACACAGCCTGCGGTAGGTCATTGAACTTCGAATATAGTGCGAAAGTATGAGGCCGGATATACTCCTATTCTTATGACATCATGGCGCTGGCTCTGTTTTTCAATAAGATAACTTGCAAGCACATACTAATCAACTGCAGAACTTTGCTGCTGCAAATTAATATTAATGTATTTTTTGGACATCTAAATCACCCGCTACGTCACCCATATATTACGTTTAGGAAAATATCGGGCGAATCATTAGGTAACGGCAAAATCAGCAGTCCACCTTGCAGGAGCTTGTTCAAGTACTGAACGATGAATTGGACAATATCTCCGCTCACCTTATCTACCAGTTGATAATTTCAATGCGGCCATTACTTCTTTTCCAAAACCAGTTCAATGAAACTTACAGGAAGATTATATAGCTGACCAAAATTGTGAATTATTTGCATCTTGACCCCGGGGCCTTGTATGGGGCTCAAAATGATCAAATATACCAAATTATCAACAGTCATCCTTTTCAGTTCCAAATATGCTAGAACACTTTTCATGGATGCAATTTTATCAAAACATTTTAATCTCAAAATCCATAAATTACCCATTCCATAAGGGAAGGGGAAAACTTACTTTCCTTTATATAGGGAAGTTACACCAACATATTCTGTTTATTCCCAATAGGACATAGAGTAGGTAAGAATCAAGAATCATTGTTATTGATTGACATATTGACAGTGCGAGAATTATAACCTAACTCACACTTGGGGCTTTCGGGACAGGGTCCAAAAGGGAAAATTGTATCAACCGCTTTCGTACTTATGCTAGAATCAAACAAAACTTCTTATGCTCCTACCTAAGGTTCTTCTCAAAAATGAATTTCCTTACTCATTATTAACCATTCCCCTTGGGGAGGGGCATGTTTACTATAGTGTATAAAGTGTATACAAGTCAATAACGTTTTTTTGTAAATTTCGTTGGAATTATTATCGTGGATTGCCTGATTGATGTGAAAATTACGACCCTGACTTGGCTTGTAGGGATTGGGGGATAGGACTAATGCGAGTGGGTCAAATTATATATATATTTTTTACCCAATATCTGTGAAAAATGTTTCCTGTTCTCAGCCTGTACATACTTTGCTCTTATACTACAATGCAATGCATTACGTATGCATAAAGAACAAACAATTTGTTTTCTTTATATTGGATTTCAGTGTAATATCATTGTTGTGTTACGCATGGTGTCAAGAACCAAATAATAAGTATAATGATATGTTTTACACTGTAAGAGAACAATAAAACGATGATTGACGACTGGTCACAAAAATCCGCTCTATTCACAATATTTAGAATATGGTGTAACAATAACAGTAACATTTTTATTAATTAAGATACATTATAGATGAAATAAATAGACAAGTGAATGGATTTCCATTGAGTACAACATACATGTTTCTTGTATGACAGAATTTACCAATATAATTCATTCGTGGTTCGGCCTTTATTTACACGGTCTACTTTTACTAAAGTATTACTTTAATCACTTCTACAGTTTTTAAAAGCATCCTTTCATGAGGCGATAACATGTACTAAGGTTAAAATAAAACTGTTTTGTAATATATTAATGTATTTGTGTCTAAAAAGATGGGTGCCAATGTTGGCCTTTGGTGGCTACCACAGATAACTTTTATTTCTCTATATAATTACCTTGGGGCTATGCCGTCATGATAGGACATACAGTTAAGTTAAGCTGGAGGGCAATTCCGAAATATGAAGGGCTAAAGAGGGGGACTTATATCACTATTAGGGGGAAGAGAGTGGACTAATATCACGTATGGGGTCTATTTGACAACACTGCATGTTATTATTTTCCTTTCAGATACTATTTTGTGGTGTAACATTTGTTTGTGGCTTTTGTGAAAAACAGCATAGTTATTATGAAAAACAAATATAAAAAGTATGGAAAGTAACCCCCTCCTGCTTACATTTTGCCCCCCCCCCCCTTTATATCTGGTTCAGATACTTATAAATACAATTCACATTGATTTACTTTTCAACTTTCGGTCATTCATATCAAATGTAGTTTCAGTGTTATACAATACATCACAATCATGTAAAAAAGTTTAAAAACAACATGTAGTTTTGTCAAAAAGAGACCCTTTGTTTTTGGTGGCCCTTTTTAAGCTTTCCTATTTCGGAATGGTCTCCAAGCTGAACTTAAACTCATGTCCTATCATGAAGGTAAGTAGACAAAACATAAACCTTATCGTTGATGGCCACCAGAAGGCCCAAATTGGCACCCATCTTTGTTGAATTTCAGATGATCATATTTGCTGTTCTAATGCTGTTTTATCAAATTCATAATAAATTTATTTCATCGAAATTGATATATTGAGTATGTGTGTGTTAATCTTCTGATTCATAAAGGAACATTCTATGGTGTTCTCTTTCATAACATTTTATCATTTTCATTTTTGCGTTTTCAAAGCATAAACTATCTGACTTTTGGTCAGTGTAGCATGTCAAACGCCCCTCTTACTGCTATAGATACTCTACTGAGCCTGTTTAATTTACATACATTCATATAGACTAGTATTGTCAGAAAATATTTGGTGTTAGGCAAGGAGATGCACTTTGGTCCCTGTAATCTAAATCACAGGAAAATGTATTTTTAAGTAAAATGGCATTGTGGGATAAGTATGAAACTTTCACAAATTGAATTTCATCATATAACTAAACTTTATGCCAAGTAACATGCGTATCCCCAAATGCCTTTTATGTACAATCAGCGGAAAAACATTGGAAATAGGCAGAACATTTCATAAATCAATGAAATCGGTTATTTTTTAACGATTAAAGCAGATACTTTCCTTTAGGCTAGGAGACTTAACATTACCAGCAAATCAAACTTTATATATGAAATCAATCATTTTACAGTAGCTGTGGTGGCAAATGCCATTTTTGATTTGTAAGTTAACTTTGATAAGTAAAAAAATCACGAAACAGGACCTAGAACTCACTTCAGCCACAGGTGTTGAGCAAATTTTATATGATGTATATAACAATTGATATCTTATACTTATAGCATATAAAGGGTGTCATGCACCTATTAATTCACTTGAAATTGATAGATATTTGAAAAAGCCAAGTTTGGTATGTGTCCAGAAGCCATAACTCAGTATAAAACAAAAGGAAAGTATGTAGTCAATATGCAATTTATCTAAGTCTACTTAAATGGGTGAAGTTGTAAATTTCAAGTCAAAATAATAATTAGAAAGGAAGTTATTAAGAAAACAAATTACTTTTCAATTGAAAATGAACAAAAAAGACCCCCTGACGTAATCCTTTGTTTGATTTCTGTCATTTTTTCATTCTGTTACATATGCCTGTCTAATTTATACATGTTTTCAAAAATAGAAATGGTATTATTTCGGTTTTTAAGCTCATTTTGAAAACAGCAAACTATATTTGTGATTTACCATATCCCTTTTGGTACCCCCAGAAACCCACTTTCGGTCAAAGTTTTACCTTAGCTTTTCCGCATGTCATAAAATAGGACATCCCTGAACAAAATAAGGAGGTGAAAATCCGAATATACTGGGGCCCAAAAAAAAGGCCTTTTAGACACCCTTCCTTTACAACAAATTACACACTTAATAAACTCCCCCAGACAAAAGCAGACTTGAAAAAAATAAAAATATACATATTACATCTATATATACTGCTCAACCCACATATACAACTTTTGAAACTTCTGCCAGCTAAATATCCAACCAGCAGGCCCCGATGCATTAACCTTCCTATTAAATCTTCTGCCCAAAAGGGAAAAACCCACAATCTATTTTTGATTTGGTTCCGTGGTCTCTATAGGATCCCACATATTTTTCAAATTTACCATTTTTGAAACAGTCAGGACCATAGGGTATGAAACTAAAATGGGAAGTGGCTGGCTCCAAGGATTGGGCTGGCAGGCCAAATCTTCTACTGGTACTGAAGATAAAGATTCCTGCAAGAAAAGACACGAAAAGTGAATCAATTTCAAAATGTAAACTTAAATATCTTAATAAATATTATACTTAGAATTATGGTTTTGAGTTTTTATTAAAGTACATGTACAGTACTACTCAGAAATATATAACATATTGTCTGAAGATCAGGGAAGATCACTCAGTTTTAAGACCTATACCCCCTTAATTTTTGACTTTTTGTAAAACAGACACACAAGTAAAGACTCATAACTGTACGAACAGTACAACATCCAACACCACCATGATAGGATTACATAATGTTTACATAACAACGGCTGAGATGAAAGACAGTGATAGGAGAGGGCTGCTCATGGTGTAAGGGAGGTAATCGTGAAGTGTTACCAAGGCGTACATTGTGAGTACAGGACCAAATCACTAGTGTGTGCAGGGAAGAAAAGAAATAACTTGCTAACAGACAACGCATATTTACCAAGCGATTTCAAGGTCAGCGATGGGGAGGCAACTGTCAACAATTCTGATGGAGAAAGTTAAGGCCTGTCTCGGGTGACTCTGTGTTGGAAATGACCCTGAGGAACCTGTCGACCTTAAAGGTAGAATATGTGAACAGACAGCTGAAGCAGGGTCTTCCAACACGTGTGAACGTTACTCGTAACTTTTCAGGTAGAGTTAATAGGGCAGTGTATCCTGTGAACTATGGACCGGGGACTGCTATTAAAGTACAGTGTAGTGAGGTTGGGTCTCCAATCACTGCTGGGAGCTCTGTGTCCAAGGACCTAGATACAGAAGAAAAAAAACAACATAATTGTGGTGTAAAATTCAAAAGAGAAATAAGAGACACAAACTATTCAAATTACGTAACAATAAAATTGATGATGACATTTATGTGAAAGACAGAGTGATGACTGAGAAAAAGAAATGAAACATTACAATATTGAGAACTTAAAAAAATGCCTTTGTTATTTTTTAATGTATATCTTACAAGACAGACAGACAGACAGACAGACAGACAGGCAGGCAGAGTTGTGGCAGAGATGACTGAACCTTCAAAATCATGACGTCATAGTCCCTTCTAGGTAAATCCTCCTTCAGCTTTATATGATGTACCATCAGTGACAGTCGGAGCACTATCTTTGTTGTTCTGTGTCCATTTGGTCATCTAACCACAAAACGCACATATCCTCCCTGGTCAATGGCCCCCCTCCCCACTCTATATGGGTGTATATTTCCATCATAGTATCCTCCTGCAGCTAAGTTTCCCTCTAAATTCTGCCAAAACACATCTATGATTATATTTACCACCAGAAATATGCTGGTGGGTCCCATCATCTGGTTTCCAGGGACGCTTGAATGGTGTAAAACGCCATAGCCTGCATCTTTCTATAGGGACCGCAGAACCAAATTATTTTCCATAGACGGTAGTGTTAACGTTTACCACTGTCCTGGTTAAATGGGGTTATCCACACTGGTTTACCTGCCCTCATTTTGAAGAATATCATCTCACACAACTGTAAATAAAATGTTTAAAAATTCTGGCTATTTGAACTTTTTTATATGGGGGCCACCATCTTCGGCACCAACAATTGACCATCATTTACAACAAAGTACACACTTAATAAACTCCCCCAGGCAAAAGCAGACTTGATTTGTTTTTTAATACATATTACATCTATATATATTGCTCAACCCACACATAAAATCTTTGAAACTTTTGCCACCTAAATATCCAACCAGCAGGCCCCGAGACATTCACCTTCCTATTAAATCTATTAAAACCCCACAATCTATTTTTGATTTGGTTCCGTGGTCCCTACAACACACATTACTGCCATCTGCCAGGAAATATTTAAACTAATAATTCATGAATAATAATAATAATAATCCGAGGTTCTTATATAGCCCTTTATCACAACCTAGTTCGTAGGTCGTGTCAAAGCGGTTCATAAATTATTATCCGTGGTTATAGGGCATTTGCAACCAGCCACTATCTTTCTCAACTGCCTGGGGAGCAAACAACCGGTGCTGTCATTAAGGCACTCACAGGTAGAATTCAACAATTCAAGTACTACCCAACTATGTATTCATTTACAGCTGAGTAGACTGGCACACGCGGAGTAAAGTATCTTGTTCAAAGATACAAAACAGTGACGTGACTCGAACCCGCAACCCTTCGATGACGAGCCCGGCATTCTACCACTAGACTACCCTGCCTCTAAGCTATAGTATCCCTAGGGTTCATGAGTTGTACCTTATATATCTATTCTTTAGTGTGTCGGAGAAGAAAGTCAAGCAAAGTGACAGATTTTACTGTACTAAATGGTCAGTTAGTTCAATCAGGCATTTCTCAGTTTGAGTTTGCCTAACACGAAGCACAGAGAGGGACACTGTGACTTGCGAGTCCGGAGAATATATCCAAATAATTTCCATTGCAAATATTAAAAGGATCCTTATCGCTCGTAAGAGAAAACACCATATAACCCGTACACGCAGTTACCTGACCTGATTTTCATATCGGTGACATTTGAGACAATTACTTCCCTTGACGTATCTAACAGTAAAGTTGCTTTTTCTGTAAGAGCGCAAAGCTTGAAAATCAGTTAAAGAATCATCAAGGAGCATATAAACACATTCGTTCCCATAAGACAATCCCTATGCGAAGCCTTCTTCGTGTGTATCAAAAAACACCTTTCCGTCCAACAAAACAAGTTCACCAAACAGGACGCTAATGAGGCTACTTTCGCCCGGTTGTCTTCATAGACAAGAAGGCAGACAAAGATAGCAAAACATCCTTATATATTCATTTCTTCGACATCATTTACTCAGCTTTCCATTCCTCTGTCTGTATTAACTGAGGGGCGAAGTAACGAGGATACGCTTAAGCAATATTCTTCCTCTGCTTCACACAGCGTGAACACGATTTGCATTACGTATTGTCCCTTTGTGGCGAAGACATGATAAGTTAGCGTCGGTTGCTTCTCAATAAACGAAATGAAACCAAGATATTACGATCATGCGAGACATGCCGTCCCTACAGTGTGTAAGCATTTGTAAAATAAACAATCATAGTTTCCTTGGAAGTGTTTGGTGCCATTAGCGAATGTTTAATTTAACCACATGTAAATAGTGTAACCCTGGTACCAGTCGCATCCTATCGACTTTTAAGCTGGAAAAAAACACATTTTTTTAGCTAAATCGGTGGAGCATCAGACAACTAAACTTCATGTAACGGGTTCGACTCCTCGTGAAATATATTGACCGTTGCTACATATTGTTGACGTTAAGTGAGCCGACAGAGTTTTTTTCCAGTAGCGGGAATCAAAGTGAGCAATCACATCGAGTTGAACAAAATATCGTACCAGTAATGCTTCTGTTCGTTGACCTGGGGTCTTCTACTGGT